GCGGCTTCCCTAGGGCACCTAAAAGCGCTCCCTTCAACGGATGCAGCATGAACCTCTACATGCGCGACATCCTTCGGGCAATGTAACACACCAATAGCAGACCACTTGAACTCGTTCCACAATCACGTAAAGGCAACTATTATCGTCACCTCTCTCACAAAAACACTCTGACACAACATATGGTCAGACAGTCTCGGGCATGCCTGGACGCCGTCAACATCAGCCCTGGCTTCGCCAGCCGCCACTGCTGTCTGAGACAACAACTAAGAGTTCTATGTAAAATAAAATCCTCCAACTGATGATTGTAGTGCCCAAGCACAAACAATACTTGGACCGCCAGAGAACTTAATCAATCGACGTATCGATTTAGTGCTACGTAGATGGCCTTTCGCAGTCGCCTCCAGACTTGCGTCACAGATAAATAACAGGCCTGCATCTTCTATAATTGCCGCATTTTCGCTGCTACTGTTGTTGCTGCTATCGCTTAAGACGAACTCCTGTATGACGTCAAAAGTTAAGAATAATAAAACAAGTTGTTCTGGTGCCACACCAGTCTTTTCAATGTGCTGGTGCACATTTAAATTTACCCCCAGCCTGGCACTTATGCAGGAGAAGACGTACAGTAGATTTATGAGAAAAAAACTATAGCAAAGTCTAATAAAATTATAAAATCCTTTGCAGATTCACCAAAGGTTTTATCCTAACAAAGATTTCATTCCATTTGTTTTAACATTTCACCATGAGTAGGGAAGAGGAAAAAAACGGAGTACTTCCTTTATGTGGCCGTAAAGTATCCAGCTTGTCCGTCTGATGAACTGATAACGGCTAATAGGCCAGAAATGGCTATTCCAGGCCCATCTGTGCCTGCCGACAAAAAATGGTCCCTCTCCCCTTGCTGCACGCGATCACATCCCCACTTGCGATGCCAGGCCCCACCCAAGAACGAGAACGGGAATGACCTGACCGTCGACTGCAACGATGTACACGCGTGCTTTATTAAGTTGAATGCAATTGCGGTTGATTAGTTTCAAGTGGTAGGAGACTCGCGTTGCATCTACAGCGCCCTCTATTATCGTCACTTGCATACATTCGGTTTCAAGAAGGACAGAGGCGAGATCAGGCGCAAGTGACTGGCGCGACCGTGAGCCGCCCCTGAGTGTTTTGCCACATCTGGCACGGAGCACAAGCACTGGGGAGTGCCATAAAGGCCACATTCCACCAGTCGGCCACTCGACAGAATGGATTGACCACGTGGTCCATGTTATCCCGTCAGTTGGCAACCTTCCAAGCCATGACTTTTAGTGCACCGTTTCAGACTGTTTATAGTAAGCGAAGTGCGCCGAGCACTACCTACACACGCCTTGACAACTCTCTCAGCTCAGGATACTATTCAGGATACATATATGCCTCATTCTGGTGTCCTGTGTCTTTTTTGCTGCCCTGACGCTCTGTAGGAACTGGTACACGTCCACTGCTCCAAGCGATACCACTTAACCGCAGCGCAAGAGTGACCAATCATCACGGCGAACAATTCAGACCATGCTTCCAGAAGGCGAGCTCAGCTAAGAGAGATTCCTTTTCCCAATCAGGATGCCGAGGTCAGAGGGTTTCCAGCGAACAGGTGGTAAAACTATAACAAGGAACTCTGGCATATTTGTTTCCGCATAGGATCATCTCACGTCTCCAGGCTTGCATACAATACTTATACCCTCTAAATGTCCGATAGGCAGTCCAAAAGATTAAATATATTCTCGCCCTCTAATAGCATGAATTGCACGAGATGGGTAGAAGAGAGAGAGAGGCGACGATGTGAACTGACTAGTCATCGTATCATGGCCACGCCTACTGAACAGGGGCAAATGAGGACAGGCGTTGCCGAAACAGTTGGCCATCATTGTGCGCCTACCCAGTCCCACTAAGTGTATCTGAAACTTTCTATACTTCTAAGATAGCATGGTCGGCATGAGAACCACAAGAGAAAAGTCCAGTAGAAATGGTCTACTAGGCACATACCGTTGTTTTTAATGATAGTATGTATATGAACAAGCTCACGTCAAGTCCCCGGCCTTAATTGACTGGTATCGCTGTTGGCGGGCAGAGAAACCACTCTTCAGGCATCGGTATTTTTGTCGAATACTGGGGGCTGAATGACGGACTATGTCATAGCTCGGTGTGAGCTCGGGCTCAGCTGATCACTGAGATACCGACT